ATTCTTGAGGAACAAAAGTTACCATATTCTAAGAGTAGAGGAGGCAGAGGTGGTGGAAGAGGAGGTGATCGTGGAGGTTTTAGAGGTGGAAGAGGAGGTGATCGTGGTGGTTTTAGAGGTGGCAGAGGTGGTGGAAGAGGAGGTGATCGTGGAGGTTTTAGAGGTGGAAGAGGAGGAGATCGTGGAGGATTTAGAGGTGGACGAGGTGGAGGAAGAGGAAGAGGAGGAGGTAAATAATTTTGCTTAATAAGAACAAATAGATTATTTAGTTTTGAATATTTACATTTTAGATAAATTTTATTTTAAATTAAAGTTTTGCTTTTTATTGTTACTTTTTACTTATTTATAAAATATGTAATAATGGTGTATTTTCCAAACCATTTCTTTCTTAATTTAATACTAGGAAGACCAGAATTTTTTGGCACTCTCTGATTATTCAGATTTGTTGTTAATGTCTTGGAGTTTGTTTAGAATATTCAACACACTAAGATGAATGGCCATGATGATATTCAGCAGCAAACACTTACATGTAAACAATGTGATATCAAAGTAAATATGACCAAAATCAAAACCAAACACAAAACATCAGCTCACAGACCATAGGCAATCAGTTTGTAATGAGTGGGAATCCTCTAAACCAGTGTTTTTCAACCTGTGTGTCGCGACCCCCCTGGGGGTCACGACCCACAGGTTGCGGGTAGAAGTAAAAGACAAGTGGGGGTTGCGGGTAGAAGTAAAAGACAAGTGTTTGTAGGTCTTACACTACATTAAAAAACTACAATTTCAGCGACAATTACGGCTCACCCCAGAAAATGATAGCGGAAAAAGTGTTGAGCTGATTTGCAAAAGGAAATAAAAAGTAGAAAAGTATAAGCTGAAATTCAGATACTAAAAAAAAAAAAGGTCAACAGTTCCCTGTGCGTAATGTTATAATTAAAGGAAGTTTCATACTTTATGTGTGTTAAATTATTGTCGATTCTTCTGAAATTTCTATTTTAATCAACAATAATTTGTCTCAACTGAAAGAAAATTAAATACATAGTTTTTAAAATTACTGATATAGTTTAAATATGGCCCTAGGGGGTCGCCAGAATTTTTTAACTTGTAAAGGGTCGCGTATTCAAGAAGGTTGAAAAACACTGCTCTAAACATAGTAGAGAACCTAACTAGATGCAGGTTTGTAGCAGCATGGGGTAGCAAGACACAGCATTTTCCACACTCATGCTCTTCCATCCCTTCACTCTCTGCCAGCCCCTACTGCTGCCCTTATACAAATTTAAAAATAAACATGTAAAAATGTCATAAAGCAGTTGATCACTGAATGAAACAGAAAACATGCACATCTGTCTCAAATACTAGGCTACTTGAATAGCCTTGAGGTAAAGATGAATAAAAGTTGAATACCTTTTCTTGTTCTGCCATTTATTTATTTGTTTTTATTGAGCATTCTCATACATATTACTGATTTGCATATGACGTACAAGGAACTGTCATATCAGGTAGCTCCTTGCATATCCTATGTTGCTAATGATCTTGGTGCTATAGTATTTTTTACATGATATACCTACCTATAGCATATTTATGCAAGGAATCAGTGATGTGGTTGACCCACACTCAGAAATTTTTAGTTACATCTCTGCAGACCAAGTGCATCTTCCAGGCAACAAACATAGAAAGAAGTTGTACATAAAATGACTCATGATAATTTTGAGAAAAATAACCTTGAATAATTTTCTTTTATGCACATCTATCATTAAAAAGCTAGGAAAAGTTTAAAAATTTCAGGCTTTTCCTTATTATTGTTATCATGTAAATATTCAAAACATTTGTTGTTTTATTGTAGTATTATAGTATGTAGAAATAAAATTTCATTGATCATGCTTTAATGCATTGTATTGTAAGTTATTTTTATAAATTTCAATTTTTGTAGGTCGAATGGGTGGTGGCAAAAAGACATTTGTTGAACCTCATAGACATGAAGGTATGTATATATAACAGTCTAGTCTGCAGTATTTCTGAACTGCAATAGCATTTTATGTGATAGAAATTAAATTCAAAATACGCATAATAAGATACATTGTAAATCTAATATTATATACATGTATAAATTAATAATCTACAGGGGAGACTGTTGCACATAGAGATGGATTTTATAAAACAGGCTTTTATTATCTTAAAATTAGACTTACTTCAACCTTTAAATGGTGTGTATTATGATTAAATCTTGAAAATTGAATACTTTCTTAACTCCTTCCAGGTTAAGAAATCTTAGGCATCTTATAATTGCAAACTAGCCGGATCTTCTAAAATGAACACGAATATAAAATTCGAATGGAGTGATTGAAATTTCGTATGAGAAGCTTTTCTGCACACGTGTTCTTGTGATATGCTTAAATATATTTGAACATACTGTAATGATTAGTGTTGCAACGAATAGTATATTCGGCCTCAGGCCAAATACCGAATATTCAGCCAAGAGCGTGGCCGAATAGCCAAATATTCAGCCAAACTATTCGGCTTGATTAATGTACATACAAAAATTGGCGCGCAAACTGCATTATGGTAAGGACCCTGCTCTCTATTGGCCTGCTGTCACTACACTTCGCCAACCGTGTTAATTCTTGACAGTTGTAGTGGACAGACATGAGCGTCATGGCAGTATGTGATAAGTGATGATATCAAATGAAGCCTACATGTGAAATGAAATGAAAATGGCCTACATGTGTAAATGTGAAAAATGAAATGGCCTACATGTGTAAATAACAGAAAAAGAACAGAGAAGGACCACGAAGTGAAAATGTGAAAATAAATATGAAATTGAGTTGATAACATAATCGAACAAGTCGAGGCAGCTTATTGGCGCGAAATTTGCGGCCGTCAATGCCAAACAATTGTTGTCATAGATTTCGGAAAGCTAAATGTTTGTAATGAAAGACACTTAGCATACACGGGCAAAAGCCTGGGGCCGTTTGGGCTACCAAGCTGTCTCGAATCTGTGAAATTCTAAGATGTATCAAGCAGCATGTGTTTTGTTTGTTTGTTTGAGTGAATAATATATTATCAACTTACTGTTTTTTGTCAAGTACTGTATAATAACCTATTAACATTTTAAACAGGAACACAATCATCATCAGAATCATATAATATTACTTCAGCTTTATTCTACTATATCAGTTAAAACGATATTTTGCCACAAATTCTTTATAGCACTGATACCAATTTACACCTAATACTTTATATATATATAATATATATACAGTAGAGCGTCGATTTTCCAAAAGTCAATCATCCGAAAGAATTCCAGTCGGCAAATTTAAATTTTCGCCAGTGCTGTGTCGCTTCAATCTTTGGCTATGTCTTGGGCTACTCAAATATTTTATGTTTTTGATACTAAATTAACATCTGAAGTATAATTTTTTATTATTTTTATATTTTTCAATATATTTATTTTGTTTGTGTACAAAATAAAAAAATAATTTTTAACGATACAATAGTCTTTGTTAGGCTTAACATCAACGAAAATTCAATGTAAAGCGACACGCAACGGAGAAAAATTTTGACATTGGATACATTAAACTATTTTTTCGTACGTAAATCAGTTATCCGAAATATCAGTTAACCGGACAACCCCAGTCCCCAATTGATTCGGAAAATCGCTGCTCTACTGTATGTATATATAGATATATTGTAAATAAACTAAATATTATCTATCTTGAGTGTGGAGTGTACTTTCAACGAACCTGGATCAAACTATATCGAGTTGTGACAAATATGGCAAACCAACTCAACGAGACAGAGTTTGGGGAAGAAACTTCACTTACACGTCTCTTGATTGGCATTATTTTTAATAATAATGAGTAGAAGTAAAAAGAAAACATGCTTTGTATCTTGGAACATTCTTGAGGAACAAAAGTTACCATATTCTAAGATACATAGGTAAACACATGTAATTAGTTATGCTAAGTACTTTTTACTATATTAAAAATAAACTGAATTGGAAAAGTTTATAATAATATGCTAGGTAATTACTTTATATATTTAAAAAATTATGAATTTATTTATTTTCACAAATTCACTTGATATTTACAATTACAAAATATTTTATTATGCAAATGCCTTGATATTTAATTGACATCACAAATAAAAACAAAATGGTTTAAACTTTACTAGCTGCTAGGTGGTACTGTAGGTAATGTATAAGTGTGTATAGCTACAAATAGGTATGAAGATGTGTCTTTCCTACTCAAAGTTTTATTTATTTTAGAAATTATTTTAAAAACCCATTTATTATTTTTGAAATTATTATATCTATGTGTGTAAGATCAGTAATTATAACAGTTTTAGAATTATAAAAAAGAACTAAATATTTTAGATTCCATATTTGTAATTACTTTGTGAGATTATCCTATTTATATTGATGATGATAACTGACTATCAATATTAAGTAGTATAAATTAATATGACTACAATTAATGAAAACTTTGTTTCCTGTTGATGATTTGATATATGGATCATTTATTTTGAAAATGGTGTAAGTCCATTTTTGGAAAACGTTGAGAAAACACATAATATGCATACAATTTAGTGTGAACTTTTTAAATGCAGGAACTATTCTATTCACAGCACTGGGATGAAAATAACGTCACACTATCGGAACCTGTGACCGGTGCGACCCACCCCCTCAGAACCGACACCCGATCCTAGAGAAGAATAATATACACTCCGTCCGAGGAATTTTTTCAGTTGACCTGAAGAAGAGCGAACAGAATGCTCGAAAACGTTTGTCAAGCGATATTTAACGTATACGCATAGAGCACCGGTCACAGGTTCCGATAGTGTGACGTTGTGAACTTTTTATTTATAAACAATTTACACTTAACATTTTAAAATAACCATAAGCTTTGATCAATTGACAATTTATTGTAAATGACATTGCATAACAATTGATTTTGAATGTGGTGTAAGTCCATTTTTTACAGTGTAAGCACTTGGGCTGTCCATAAATTACATGTGCATTTTTCTTGAAATTTTTACTTTCCCCTCTTGTTCCAGTTTTTCAAGTTTCTGTAACCCCTTTCCCTCTATAGATGTCCAACATAACTCTATCCCCGTTAAAACCTTCATCACTTTATGAATGATAGATATCATAAGTAGAAATGAAATGTACAAGAAACTTTGAAATAAATTTAATAAAATGCATACTGTATAAAATTTAATGAAATAAATGAATGTCCACTAATACTCAATCCCCTCCCTCCCTTTCAGTGTGGACATGTTTTGATTGGATATATACTTATAAATATTTTTACAGTAGTTTCATCTCAATATATTTATGTTCACACCTGTTCTGTCAATACTAAAAGTGTTACTTGTTTACTCTTTCCATATTGTCCTCTCAATGTTACCATTAAATCATTTTTTTATTACTACCAGAAGGCTGCTATAAAAATTGAAGATAAACTTTATATCATATTTCCTAAATTTAAGGTGATTTGTAAGAAATTCCTTTATTATACTTAACTATTTAACTTATTGTTTTATTAGCTTTATTTTTGTTTTTTGGGTATGTTATTTCATTGTTGTATTGATGTTAGCAAACTTTGTATAAATTACATTACCAGTATTAATGTAAGTAAATAAAATTAATAAACAATAAAATTTGATGCCATTAATATTTAAATTAAAAAAAAATCTTTTAGAAATAAAATTAATTACAATTATACTTATTTTATTGCTACTATTTATTATTTGAATTTGTAACTGTGAAACAATACAGATTTACAGTGAACTTTGAAAATTGATGTTATATTCCTTTATTCTACTTGATATGTCAATCTTAGTGTTCAACAATGACTGCCAAAGTGCCAAAACTATAGATTGTGGCATCCTGTTATGATCTTAATAGTTTGTTGAATTTTTACATGTTGAAATATCTCATACTCTTCCAACTATCTGAACATGAAATACAATACATTTCATCTTTATCAAAAAAAATATTATTTGAGATGAAAATTCCTGAAGAGATAGTTTTTGATACATTATATCCTGAAAATATACAAAATGGAAAGAATTTAAATGCAGTGACATTAACCTTGTAATTTATGAAGAGTTGAAGGTACTGTTGAAAAAATATGTTAAATCATAGAACATTAAATTGAGAGAATGGTAACTTCATATGTGCACTTGATATAATGTGTTCCATAGGGTCTAAAAAATTTGATCACATTGTGTAGAGGAACCCTTCTGCCATATGAGTACAATTCCAGATACATGGTGGCCATTGTTTATTAATTTACGATTTAGTTTACTTAGTCACCCACCTGACATTTTTTTCCATTCAAGAGTTGAAGTTTGCAGTGACAAGTACAGTACATAGTATAAGTGTGCTTCACAAACTACACTTTTGATGATGATAATGTTGCATTGATATCTTTAAATGCAGTATAATTTTAATTCAGTTTTTAGCTATCTTCTTCAAGGAAGAAAAACATTCTAATGACTGAAAATGTTAAAATACAATTAAAATTATACTGCATTTAAAAGTGTCACTGTGCCATTATTAATACAAGTGTGCTAACCGAGGGGGCTGAAGTGGAGAGCTTCTCCCCACTTACCGGCTTGGCTGTCAGGAAATGGCTATAGGAGGGCTAAAGATATGCGTGGGGAGGAGTCGGAAGACGGGAACAGGTGTTCAATAGATTACACAGGTTTAAAATAGACAACACATTTAATAAACCGATGAGAAATTATACATAATGATAATAAATATAACACTCGCGTATCAAGATATAAATAGGTATTCTAAAATCTATCCTAACCTAACCTAATGCCTAAAGTTCGAGAGAGACCTTACGTTGGAGAGAGATAATTACGACAAGGATTTACCTCGAAGACAACGTTCTCATATTATAGGGCGTTGATAAAACACTCTGTGATCATCGTCTTCTAATCCGAGGTGTCCTTTGAAGGCTATGTGGAGCGATGTCCTTCTCAGGTCGTGCGGCTATGTCTAGATGCGGTGTATGCTTCGTTGCTCCTATTCTGTAGAGAGTTCTTCCTGGTGAAGTTCTCTCGGAGGTTTCTTCTATTAACCTCTTCGAGAGTAATTCTATCGTATAAGGAGAGAATAGAAAAATATTCAAAGTTTTACCTTTCCATGGAGTGGTGATTATGAGCTTCGTAGATCATGAGAGTGCTGGAAGAGTAGCCCACTGCGTTCTCTTCCCCCGACGATTGCTGTCCGTTTTTCTTAGCTGTCCGGAGAGTTTCTTCGGCGTTAGCTCCTCGGCTAAGCGCCCCGAGTAGAAAATTTGACCCCTTTATATACCCGATCTGCGTGGGAAAAATCTGGGAATTTGTTGACGTCTTTTGATATCTCTCCCTGATTTATTACCGTCTCCCGCGCCATAGAAAAACTTATCTCCATATATAGTCATTTTTCGTTCGGTCGCTCGGACGCATGGGGGTCACGTGACATTGTGGTCCCTCGTCGATGACCTTCGGACGATGAAAGTCACCCTCGCTAACTACGCAGTTCATTGTCCGGGGTTTATCCTTCGAGTAGCGGGGTGAGAACGGGAGTAATAATGGAAATAATGATAAAAAAAAACTCTCATAAGAGAGTCAGATTTTCACACAAGCATGGCTGATAAAATATTGCAAATGAGCCAATTGAATGTGAATTAGACTGTTAGCTGCCAATTTAGTCTGGATGATAAGTTGGAATTTATATGTTATATGCCTTGTATGAGTTTATATTCTATCAAAGTGCATTATATCAACTCACCAGTGTACTTTTGTTTTCATCAATTATTAAAGAAATGTTTATATTTAATTATTTCCTGCTGTAATAAATAATTACAGAAATGACAAGCTATTGTAACCTAAATAGAAGTTACTGTAAGATCTCAAATTATTATGTTTGTTACATGCTTGAGTATATATTATGTCTGCTGAACAGAGGGGGAAGTGGGAAATTTTAAATATATAAAGGATTTATAGAATATATTTCTCATTTAAGATAAATTAATCTTAAATGAGAAATATAGTTTTCAAAATTTATAAATATCTTATAAAAGAATTGTTTTTTTTTATTTTTAATTTAGGTGTTTACATTGCTAGAGCAAAGGAGGATTCTCTTGTTACCAAAAATTTAGTAATTGGTGAATCTGTGTATGGAGAAAAGCGAATTTCTGTTGAGGTATGTGTAAATTTAAACTTAATCAAATTTGTTACATACATGTACTGTACATATGTATATCTCAGATGATAATGATTTAATTTTTTATATAATTTATACATTAACACATGATACAGTAAAATTTATTTGTAAAGACAGAAATCTACTAGATTGGAAAATAAGTCTCAAAACAGAAAACTTTTGTACATAAGTTCATAGCTTATAACAGCATTTTGTCTAATTAGGAAATAGATCTTTTTGGTATCAATTGAATCTGACTAAAGAGGAATATTTTAGCATTACAGTAACTAAAAATTTTAAATCAACTAAATAAAGATGAGAAAACCCGCCAAGTGTCTTAATTTATAGCACTTTATTGTGTTAGAAGCATAAATTTTAAATCAGTTAAGACACATTCTATGAGCATTGCTTGTGTGCAGACTTTTTTTCTCTGTGCATCACATTTTGATGTTTTGAATATGTCTCTGAAACAAACACTTACATTAGAGAAAAAAAACAGTTTCAAATATAAATTTTAATATTTTTAATTTTTCTGTTTTATTACATTTATAAGGGCATAAGACTGTATAAAATAAAAATTAGAAATTGCATTACCAGTAAATTGATTTTCTGGTAAACAATTAAAATATATTTGTAAATATACAATTAATATCTTTTACCAGTAAATTTAGTAAAGGTAGTTAGACATAATTTATTTTTTTAAGCCAAATATTTATGTACAATATATTTATATTTTTAGATATTAAAGATATATGGAAGTGTCAAATGTTTCCATTTAAACTGTAAAGTACAGCACTATGCTAGATATTTTGGCAATTTTTTCTCTGCCCACAGCATGTTTATGGCTGTTTAATATGAGGATGCTGAGTAACAACCACTACAGTTTGTTATGTAAAATAACATTTATTTATTTTAATTAAATTAAAAATATAAGAACCAAAGAAACAATGTCTTTACACAGGAAGAAATATTTGGATTTAACATTTTCAGTCTCACTGTTTAAAGGAATTTGTTGTATCTTAATTTTAAGTGTTTTAGAGGTTATTGCATATACAGTTGTCCCTCTATAGTCCGACGTTTTTTAATCCGACATGCTCAGTAGTCCAACGCACCTCCCGTCAAGGTACCCGTCCCCGTTATGTGTCTGCTTGCACAGAAGCATGTCGCGATGTGAATCTCCCCATCCAATTCTTACTCGATGACACACATTTCGTGTGTTTTATGTGAGCAGTTCTGTTCGAACAGTTGGAGTAGAGAATATTGTAAGTTACTGCTAGCAAAACAATGCGAAATATGTAATTATTTTCGGTAATCCGGACACTTTTGGTAATCTGACACACCTTTGGTCCCATACCTGTCGGATTATCAAGGGACAACTGTATTTTAAGAATGCAGTTTACTATAGTATATATAAACATATTTGCCTTAGCATTCTTAAATATATTTTTTAAATTTAATTAAAATTAAATAATTTATAATTCAAAATTTTTGTCGTTTTCATAGTAATATTTATAAGTCATGATGTACTCTGCTCTTAACTAGTAAATAATTTATGCCATGTACTCTACTGTGACAGCAGTGCTAAACAGTGTAGTGCCATTTCATGCATTTTAGTGTATTGTGAGGCTGAATGAATAGAACTGATCTGAGAGGAAGATGGCACTGTACTCTCTAACAGTACTGTACTGTGCTGTTGAATGAGGATGTATAGCACAAAACTATTTTGATAGAATTATTTTATTTTGTATGCTAGTTTTGATTTTAAAAAATTAATCTGGTATAATAATTTGATTACTATGTAATAAAAATTGAGACATTATTATTTATTTATTTATTTTATTTTTTGAGGGTGTTTAGTTCTGCAATGCTTTTTGTGTAACAATTTCAGGCAATGAAATTGTTGCTTTTCAAAACAGAAGAAAAGGAATTTGATTAATTAGTGGACTAGTGATTATTTAGTTTTTAACTTATTGATGAATGGCAACTAAACAATCACTAGTTTTTCAAATGTAAACTAATTTTTACATTTGAAGTCAAAATTTAAAACTTTAGCAGTATAATGGTAAATTTCAAAACATTACTGGTAATAAATGTTAAATTTGCAATTCCTAATGGAAATTCTCACTGGTACCATTATGTTCTGTTTTAGGTTTTCAACTGGAATGTTACATAGAATAAAATTCAATAAAATAGAATTCAAAAAATATTTTTGAATTCTATGTAACATTCCATAACCTGAAGATGGCTATTAAAAACAGTTGAAAATGTTTGTTCTTATAATAAATTTGTTCATTTTAACTGGATTACAGGTGATAGTTGGTGCTTTTATAGTAATCTCATTCAGTTTTGTAGTATATATTTTGTTTGTGAAATGAAAATCATTATATTTAGTGCAGTCATTACAGAACATATGAATATAAAACTATCACAGACTTCCATTAACCATTGTATGAGAAGGTAGAAAATTATACATCAATGAACATTATCCATTATAAACATAAGATTAGTATTTAAACAAATAAAAAATTTATTTTGAAGTAATATGCTATTTTTACATATGTAAAAAGTAATTATAAAGTAATTATATACACAGTAAAACTATTAGTACATATTAACAGTGATTAATTTTTATAATTATTGGATTAATAAATAATGCNTATGTAACATTCCATAACCTGAAGATGGCTATTAAAAACAGTTGAAAATGTTTGTTCTTATAATAAATTTGTTCATTTTAACTGGATTACAGGTGATAGTTGGTGCTTTTATAGTAATCTCATTCAGTTTTGTAGTATATATTTTGTTTGTGAAATGAAAATCATTATATTTAGTGCAGTCATTACAGAACATATGAATATAAAACTATCACAGACTTCCATTAACCATTGTATGAGAAGGTAGAAAATTATACATCAATGAACATTATCCATTATAAACATAAGATTAGTATTTAAACAAATAAAAAATTTATTTTGAAGTAATATGCTATTTTTACATATGTAAAAAGTAATTATAAAGTAATTATATACACAGTAAAACTATTAGTACATATTAACAGTGATTAATTTTTATAATTATTGGATTAATAAATAATGCTAAATGAATAATTATCATATTATTACTAATTTAAGATGGTTAAAAGTATCATGGAGAATTTGTTCATCTTCCAGCCATTCTTAGAATATTTTTAGTTATTTTATACCATTATCATTACATCATTAATTTAAGAACCACTATTAACTACATTTGTAACATAATAAAACAGTTTTACTAAAATGTGGTGAATTTGATTGAAATCCTTACCACAATGAAGCTAACTGGGAAAACATTATACTGAAAATATTTGATTACTCTCTAAGTGCATCAACTGTGATTGTGACCAAGATATAAGAAGTTGTGGGAACAAAAAAAATACATTTAAAGTATATAAAAAAGGTTATCTGTTATCCAATAAGTAAGTAAAACTATTCTTTGCTTGTAATAATTGGGGTGGACCAAAACTAGAAATGATGAAAGACAGCAGTTTCATCATCATCAGGCTTCAGCGTGGAAAAGATCCTTAAGCGGTGGAGTACTGAACAACATAAAGTGATACTCGGCTTGCATTCTGTGGTACAGAAAACAAACGGAGCTCTTACTGTACTAGATTCTCCAAATAATCTGATGGCTAGCGAAAACTCAACTGTGGCCCTCAGTCCGGGGCACCTCTTAAATGAGGTGAGGGTGCTAAGAATCTCCCCGTCGTGTGACATTCAGAGCATTGGAAATACTTTAAATAAAATGAAAATATACAGTAAAAATTAAATGAATTGGCATTTCATGTTCAGAATATTATCTGTTGCATTTTATTTTTGCTAAGTTCAATTTTGTATTCTATCTGAGGATGGTCTTTAAGAAGGACCAAAAATGTTTGTAATTAAATTGTTTTATAGGTTTTGTGAGAGTCTAAATTATTACGTATTTTAGTGGAAGCATATTTTGAATTAATTAAAAATTTTATTAGGCCAAATTATAGAAATTGAAAATTATGTACAGTCGACCCCCCCTATAACACTGTTGATTTTTTCATTTTATATGAATTCCATGTTGTACGAGTCACTTAGATTTTACAAATACGTGTGCCAGGCTGTGAACGGCTCACGTATTTGTAAAATCTAAGTGACTCGTACAACATGGAATTCATATAAAATGGAAAAATCAACAGTGTTATAGGGGGGTCAACTTTATTAATTTTAAATATTTTTGGAGATTATAAAAATAATTTTATAATTGTTTTAGATAGATATATAATTTTTGACTCTAAACTGTAGTTTAGAAATTACTAATTTATATTATGAAACCAAAAGAAGAAAATTTTATATAATCTCACTAGAAATTCTGTAGTTAATCACTTCTTAATGAATTGATGATTATGGAAGTCTATAAGAAAAATTTTCAAATAAATGCTGTTTAAAATAACTACAATTTATGATATTAGATAAATAAATTAGATTCAGTAATAGTAAAGTCTACTTGAAACTTTTATTCTTCAACTGAATTTGCTGTTTGAAAGTTATTTATTATTTGTAAATAATGTCCAAATTTTGTTATACTTAAAATTTATTTATGACTATATAATATAGATATACAAAATTTATCATAATAAAGTAAATTTTAAAGTGGTGTTTTTTTTTTGCTAGGATGAAAATGGAAAAGTTGAATACAGAATATGGAATCCATTTAGATCTAAACTGGCTGCTGCTATACTTGGTGGAATAGACCAAATTCATATGTCACCTGGTTCAAAGGTTTTGTATCTTGGAGCAGCATCTGGTACAACAGTTTCTCATGTGGCTGACATTGTTGGACCAGTAAGTAAATTTTTATTTTGATTTTTCAATAAACAATTCTTATTAATTTATCCTAATTTATTTGTGCTTATTGTTATAAGATTTTGGTGCTTTTCTGTTAACGGGATGACAGTTGTAACTCTAATCTAGTGTGTGATACAGTCATCCCCATCGCTTTGCTAAGACTATCGTGTTTAACTATTTATCCCACACAACTATGTGGGCTTTGACCATGAAGTACTTGATGCTATATAGTTTTAGTGGGTGTGTGGGCTTGCCTCCACTTGGGTCCTTTGGTGTGAGCAACAGCAATCACTGAAGAACACAACTACATGTGGAGTGTCAGTGAAGGCAAGTGATAGCGAGCCTTGATGATGCGGAACATGGAGAATAGGTAGTATACTAATACATGTTAAAAAATTGACATCTAGAGGCAAATATCTCACAAAGGATTGAGTGTACAGGTATGGTTTCTTTGACTTTTTGCTCATTTGGGGGGTTAATAATTCTGGAGATGCAAGACTCGTCATTGAGAGCTTCAATCATATCTATTGCTGTACATATTGACTGGTATTCTGTTAACAGAAAAGTACCAGATGTTTTACAATTAATACTTTTTAGTAGTTTGTATTCCCATCAGAAATCTAGAATTACATATATATAATTATAATATTTTGGAAGTTTATGTAAAAAAGTTATTGGTATTAATTTGCATATCACCTTTGAAGAAACTAAAAAAATATTTGAGAGTTTAATGAAGTAAATAGATTTATATTATTAATAATATTGTTTAAATTTCTGAATTTTTTATTTAAAATAATTATATTGTTATAATGCATTTTATACACAATAAGTTTGATATTTCATTAAAAAAATAATAATAATTTTAATATTGTAGGAAGGATTAGTTTATGCTGTTGAATTTTCTCATCGGTCAGGACGTGATCTAATAGGTGTTGCACAGAAAAGAACAAATATTGTACCAATAATTGAAGATGCACGTCATCCACATAAATATAGAATGGTTGTTGGTATGATTATTTTAAATTTTTTAAAATATAAATTACTTTATTTAAATAATAATTCTATGCAAGTTAAGAGGGAAGTATTATGTATTAAAATGATTATGAATAGAAGTTTCATATGTATATAAATATTGTTTTGATTTTTATGATTTCTTTGAAGACCGTCTCTATTAATATAATTAATTTTAAATAGTAGTTTAATTAAGCTTACAAAATAAAATTTTACACAAATTAATTTTTCAGCTCTAGTCATTAAAGATAATATGACACAAAAGGCAGTAAATATTGTTGTATGATGAGAAATATAATGATTAAGTAGTTATTATATATTAATGAAACAAAAAATTAGCCTTTAACAATGAGTAATATTAGAGAAATATTAATGTTTTTGGCTTAGTTAATAGGTCATTGTAAGACAGACACAACCTTATCCATTGTTAAAGGTGCATTGCTTATGTTACTCTTTAGCTTAACTAGATATTAAGTTCAACTTTGTGAAATTAAAATCAGAGTAGTAGGTGATAGTTTTTTAAGGTTCTGTTTAGATGTACAATGAACACAACAATGTCATTTCCTGTTTGCCAATCACAAATACTGTTGATTTTAAATACGTTTATGTGAATTATGTTGGCAATTACAGTAAGTTTTATGAAATTTATTTGTATGTTATTTATAAAGATTAGTTGAAATATATATATATGTCGTATTATTTTGCAGTCGTAGTCGTAAGGTTGAGTGTAGGTTGAACAAGACAAAGAAAATTGGAGACCATAAAATAACACGTCCGTTCACTTTCGGGTCCTCACTCGAACTCCCCTTATTTTATTGGTGCTGTTAACCTCATTCCAAAAGGGACGAGATTAACAAAGTAAAATACAGAAAATATATACAAAATTTACAAAATTTTAAATATGTTAAATGCCCCCCTCCTGAAAAGGCGACATCATGGAGCCTCAGGGAGGTTGGGCTGGGTGTTATACAATTTATCGGCTTGAACTCTAAAGTTGGTTGGATTATAATACGGTATAATTTTATCTACATTTACAATATCGGTTAATTTATTTAATGATTGGACAGGTCTGTCTATTTCTACGTTACAAGGAGATACTATTTTTAATATGGTGAAAGGTCCATGATACTTTGGAGCAAGTTTTCCTTGGTCCGGATGGAAGAAGGTTTGTAGTAATATTTGATCTCCTACTTTGAAGTTTGGAGTTTGATGTTGACTATTATATTTATCTCTGTTTCTTTCGTGAGCTAATTCAGTTCTTTCGGTGGCAATCTTACGTGCTTCGCTGAGAGAGGGATAATTCAAGTTGTGAGGTAAATCGGGGATTTCTCCATACATCAAAAACATTGGAGGGAATCCTGTTATAGTATGAGGTGTTTGGTTGTATTCTTTCACAACGTCACGTAACATTTGAGTCCAGGATCGTTTTGGATTTTCTGAATATTTTATTCTTAGTCTAGAGACGAGTGTGGCGTTTAGTCTCTCAACTATCCCGTTGTGCTGTGGTCGCTGAGTACTTGTTAGATGTTGTTTGATTCCATTCTGTTCTAAATATCTTCTGAATCTAGAGGAAGTAAATGAAGGTGCTCTATCTGTTAATAGACGTTTTGGGCTGCCTGTTTGTAATATTTTGCCTAGACAATCTATGTAGGCATTTATAGAAGTAGATTTGGAAGGGAAACACCAAGTAAACCTAGAAAAGTGATTGATGGCGACATGAAGGTAGCCTTTAGTAGATCCGTATCTTTGCATTCCAGATACAGTGTCCATAGATAACATGTCAAATAGAGCTTTTGATGAAGGTAAGTCACCTAACAAGCCAAACTTTTTATGGTTGTATGTCTTTGCTTTCTGACAAACATCACAATGTTTAACAAACTCTACAACATCGTTGATGACTTTCGGCCAATAGTAACGTGGACTGATTAGTTTCAGCATCTGTGTTATACCTGGGTGACCATAGTGTGCATGTGCCCTGGATAGCACCTTGTACTGAAGCGATGGAGGTATGACTTTCTTTATAAATCCCTTCTTTCTGATACAGATTACATCTTCATGATCTCGGAAGAACTTGGGTGAGGTGAGTAATGCGTTATCCTGGTTGGAAAGGACTTCCTCAGTGGTAACAAAATGGCTCACGGGGGCTCTGGATAAATAATCAGCTTCTATATTCTGGCTTCCCTTCTGATGTTTAATGTCATACTGATACATGCTCAGTTTCAAAGACCATCTAAATAACCTTCCAGATGGGTTTTTTATACTTTTCAGCCACTGTAAAGCTTGATGATCGGTGTGTATGGTAAAATAGATATCATGAAGATAAAAGTGAAACTTTTCAATAGATGCTACAATTGCAAGGCATTCTCTCTCACTAATGGTGTATCTTTTTTCATATTCACGTAAGGACCTGGAAAAATAGGCAATAGGAAGTAATCCTTTAACNNNNTGTCGTCGATTTACAAACTCGGTGAAGTAATCTTCTTCTTCCTGTGGAAAGTACTCGAGTAATTTTTGTTTAATTTTGTTCCAATCCGTTTCCTCTACTAAATTTTCACAAAAATAGTCGAAAGCTTCATGCTGTAAATACTCTGGTATGTAAAAGTGAAGCTCCTGTTCGTCAATCTTTTGTCTCGCCGCTTGCTTCTCAAACAGTCTCATCCACGAAGTCAAACTTAGCTTTCCACGTGGGTTAAACGGTATAAGATTTAGTTTAGGAGAGGTAGAACTACCTGTTTCTGGGATGGATTTGTCTCTAGATTTACTCATGGCTGGTACTAAGGTTATCCTGTCGACTCTTATAAATTGTCGTATTATTTTGCAGTCGTAGTCGTAAGGTCGAGTGTAGGTTGAACAAGACAAAGAAAATTGGAGACCATAAAATAACACGTCCGTTCAGTTTCGGGTCCTCACTCGAACTCCCCTTATTTTATTGGTGCTGTTAACCTCATTCCAAAAGGGACAAGATTAACAAAGTAAAATACAGAAAATATATACAAAATTTACAAAAATTTTAAATATGTTATATATATATATATAGTCTGAAGAGGCCATGTAGACCAAATATGTAATGTAAATAGTAAATAAAATAAAATTGATTTTCAAGCCTTTGTCATTAGTGGTGAATAGGAAATGACATTATTATAATTTTTTCAGATCTAAATAGGCCTCTATTATTATAAACAACTTAATCACTGTATAGACATATTTTCTCATTTTTATTGAATTATATAAAAACACAAAATAAACTGGAATGATGTATAGACTCTCAACTAAACATCATCTTTCCAGCAAAACACCCAAATTCAACTTTCAAACGTTTTCGGCGACTTGTTAATTGGCTTCATCAGGAAAAGTCAAAATGAAAATAACTGTTCTATTTATAGAATGTTGCTGCATTATACATATAATTTAAAAAAAATTTTTTAAATCACTTCGAACATTGACTGTGACATATATTAAACAATGTATAATTTCCTTTAAGATTGTAAATAATACTTCTGTGCATTTGGTATGGGAATGTAATCCATGTTGATGCATGTTCCTTTTATGTTGGCCCTATAGATTTCTGCAGCCTCTATTGTTCTTATATGTTGTCTGTCAAATACCTTGTGTATTAGGGTTGCCTCCTCCCATACGGGATAAATTCCCGGTTCACTGGCATACTGGGCTAGGGCCTTATTGATGTTTTCTTTTGCCACGTCATACCTGTGATCATGTAACCAGGCTTGTAATGATCTGCATGTGGAACCAATGTAGGTTAGTGTTCAGTTGAACTTGTCATCATGTAGTGAGATGCGATAAATTCCAGGTGCTTTAGCATCCTCAGTTTCATCCTTCATGTTAGATAAAAGGTGGAACACGGTGAGTTTCCTTTTGTACACTATGCATATGTTTAAATCCTTGGCCATCCTCTTGTATATGCGATAGAGGGGTGGTTTGTAACTTAGGACTACCCGTTTCTCTGCTGTGTTGTTAAAGTTAGTATTGGTGTTGATTGACCTGGCTTGATATGTGGACGTTATATTGTTGATAAATGGGTGGCTGTACCCATGCTTGGATGTGATATCTTTCAGTTGTTCTAGCTCATTGTTAGTATCTGAGAGCTGCATAAAGTATGAGTGAGCTTTAGCCACAAGTGCACAGAAAGTGGATGTTTTATATGATTAAGGATCAGCAGCATTGGCTGGTGTGAATAGAGGGATGTAAGTGGGTTTGCGGTATGCTGTGGTGTTGAACTTGTTATCCGCTATGTGAATCTTGACCTCTAAGAAATTAACGTCCATGTGGCTTTCTTGATCCAATTTTAGTGTTAATCCATAGTTGTTATTATTGAACACTTTTAACACATATTCAACATCTGGTCTATTTCTCCATATAATCAAAATGTCATCAATGTATCGTGTATACATGAGGATATTATGTTTGAAGTTTACTAAGGACCACTCTTCCAATTGTCGTACCAGTTCACACAGATCATCCAAAATGGGGCTACCCATAGGTATCCCTCTTTTTTGTATGCTCATCAAAGTAAAAACATGAAGAATAGCACAGCAGGTGTGCTAGGTCTAATATCTGAGAGTGGAAAGTTTGAGCATCAATAGTAGTGCTTAGAAAAAATCTCTTAAAGTACGAAAGCATGATTCTAAACAAATATATGGATACAAAATTGAACACAGTAAGATATTCGTTACCACTTAAATTAATAGCACCAAGTTTGGATAGAAGTGCACCTGAATTGGAGATTGTATATGTATATGATTGAAGGTGGTACTTTAACACATGATGGATTTGATTTTCCAGCAAAAATGTTGGGGATCTGGTTTTATCGATCATGGAACGTAAGTGTTGACCCGGTTTGTGCATTTTTGCAAAGGCAAACAGGCAGGGGGTGTCAGGAGAGCTGACTATTGTGTGCTGTAGGCCTAGTGCTGTTGCTAGGTTAGTGCGTGTGAACCTAGCGACATGAATGTTGAAGTTGGGTATTTTGCTGGAAATTTGACATTTAGGTGAGAATTAATATGAATTCAATAAAATTGAGAAAGATAAAATGATACAATAACCTCGATAGTTTGAGTTGACTGGGAAAGGAACCTTGAATTATGAAACTCTTGAGTATATGGAATATATACAATGGGAAACAGTAATAAGTAAATGTGTTAAATACTGTTATATTCATTTTATTGGCTAATAAGTTCAGGTATATATCTATATAATACATAAATATATACTAAGATGTGAAACACAATATAAAATAAGAGTGAAGTACAGTAGAGCATCGATTATCTGACTCAATTGGGGACTGGGGTTGGTCGGATAATTGAAAAGTTGGATAACCGAAAAGTATGAAAAAATCCATTATTAGTGTAGTATATTATTACATCCCATGTAATTAGTATATTAGTATATTGCTATTAACCTACTTCGCGTTGAATTTTCCTCCATGTTAAGCCTATCAAATTTTTTTTAAAATAATAATCGTCGCTATTGTATCGTTAAAAATTAGAAAATTAAGCCTCATTTAACCCTTAACTGGTTTTATGGGGGCCGCGTGGCCCCCACGCGTCATATTTTTACGATTTTCTAAAAATCTAAATATCGTGCGCAGCTGCCATTTTATGTAATCTCATTATGTCGCGACTCTTAGCAAGTGCCAAATGTTCAGCCCTGTAGCACTTACAAGGATGGAATTACGTACCTTCTGGGGGCCGCGCAGCCCCCACGATACCAGTTACGGTGGTTTTTTGTGGAAATGTGTTTTTATGTTTTTTTTTTATTTTTACAATTATTCTGCAAAGATATCTCAATCTTGCATCAAAAATTCAAAATGACTACCAAAAAATTATTTGAACTGTTAATAGATGATAATATTATACAAATTGCTAGATTAAGCCGAAATCTCCTGAAAAGAGTATGTTGTCATTTTGTGCTGGAAAAAAAGATGGTAAATATGCTACTAAGTGCAACAGTTGTTTGAAATTTATTTGCAAAATGCATAGTGCTACAAAAATACTATGTGATAACTTTCAAGATTGAACTACGTAATTGCGTTAAAATGTTCCTGAGTCTTAAAAATAGAAGTGATTTTATTACCTGTGGTTTTTTAACAAATGATAGTTAGAGGCTATAAGAAATACTTTTTTATAAGATTAGTTTCTTAAGAATAAGAAAAAAAAATGTAAAAACTTACAATAGGGTAGATTTTTGTATTGTTAAAAAAAGCATACACCAAAAGTTGTAACAATTTTGTGATCTTTTGTAATAATTAAGTAAAGAAAATTATATAAATAAATAAAAGTTGATTATACTAAAGAAAGGTTCCATTTAACATTTATGCACTTTTGAACAGTAACATTATTAAACTTGCACTCTAAAGGCAAATTTTGCTTGGGGGCTGCGCAGCCCCCATGATACCAGTTATGATTTTAAAATTTACGAAACCAGTTAAGGGTTAAATACTGTCTCCCTTTCATGGTCGATCCAGTGTTGCCAGCTAAAACACGTAAAAATAATATTAAAGTAGCCAAGACATAGCCAAATATTGTAGCGCCACATCACTAGCGGACATTTGAATTTGCCGACTAGAACACGGTCAGTTAACCGAGGTGACGGTTAATCGGGGGTCGGATAATCGATGATCTACTGTAACTGTTCCTGGCAGCTATACTATGCCACTACTGGCAACCATATCATTTTACAATGCAAAAAATTGAAAACTGTTAATTCAGTGTTTGGTGTTTCATCACACATTTGATTTGAATTATTTAAATTTTTGTACATGGTAACTTAATTAAATTAAATGTATGGTGAGTACATGTACTTTAAGTTAAGGATGGTAGAATTGTGAATTATCAAAACACTACTGTATATTTTAATAACATTAAGATAACTAACTTTTGTGTCATAAAACAAGATGAGAAGATGAATTAGGTGATTATTAAAGCAATATGTTAATATTTTTACATTTGTCATCACAATAAATAAAAATTATATGTATATGAGGTCTGACACAAAAAATAAGACTAACCCAGTCTCACTTTTGGTTCCTTGGTTTATCTTTTCCCACTTTTGGTTCCCAAAAGTGGTTGGGAATAGACAGAGAGATGATTGTAGATCCTGTTTCAGGTTGTCATCATGACCTGAAAGCAACAATGACAGATATCCTCAAAAACCTTTCAGAAAATGATCTAAAAAATTGTTTTGTTGGCAGCATTGTAGGAAGCTGCATATAATGCTGACAACATTCAAAATATGTGTCAACTCGGAAGAGAACTATTTTGAAGATCATAATTGATTTGCTCAGTTTATTAAATAAAACAAGATACAGGCATAGTCATGTTTTACTGCGTCAGATCTCATATTGATAAATATAAATACAATTTGTTTGTATAAATAGACCTTATGCAAAATATTTAATTATCTTTAAATTTTAGGAATGGTTGATACCATATTTGCTGATGTAGCTCAACCAGATCAAGCTCGTATTGTAGCAATAAATGCTCATCACTATCTCAAAGCTGGTGGTCATTTTGTAATATCTATAAAAGTAAGTAATTTTGTTTTAAAAGACATTTTTAGAATGTTTTAGAAAAGTACTGAATAAAAATTCAATAAAAGTCCTTAGGTAAAACTTTTTTTACTGAATTAAAACTTAAAAGTAGAATCATATGAAGCTACAACCAAAATTTATCAATTCAATTTTCACTAAAATTTAATTGATAAATTTTGTAGAATTTTGAATTTTAATAGTAGATTAGTAGATTGGTAATTAGATAGTCTTTTTGAAACCATTACAGGAAATATAATTGTGTTTCAATTTATCTGAATACAGTATATAAAATGAGAATCAAAACTTTGAACAGTAAACACAATGACACTTGGGCATATTGCTAAATACAGCAACTGACCAGAACTGGCTATTACACATTATGTGTGAAATATGAGTCAATGTCTAAAAATAACACCTTTTCAAGGTGATGAATTATAGAGTTTCTACTGTATGTATCTAAGGCTTATTTATTTCTTTTTTAAATTGAACTATTTTTGCGCTGTCAGTGCAGTTTGCTTCTTTAATGCCTGTTATTCAATCAGGTTTACATTGAGGATGGCTGTCCTAGGTATCCTAAATGGGAACCTGACTGTGTGTGTATCAAAGTTAGATTTAAATCATAAGGCTAGTAGAGGCAAGCTGTCAGGTGAGCGAGTGAACAAATGGTTTAAAGCAAACCTTACTACACTGGAATTAGAATGTCTGCTGTCTATCTGAATTCATAGTTTATTAAAAAACTATAGATATATATTTCATCCAGAAAAAAAAAATGTATTATTGTCATCTGCTATTTTTTCCCGACCTACATATGAAATTTCATTGAGTTCCGTCCATTCATTCCTGAGATATTTTTCATTTCACTTAAAAATTATTCTTTTTTTTTCCTTCAGCTTCAGTCAAAAATGTTACGCTTTGTGAAATGTCCACTTTGGCATGCACATCATTATGTTTGTCATTTTAATTCTAATTTTTTTTCTTTTTGACAAAATGAAATTTTTAAATAACAGAATATTGAACTTATTTAAATTATATTAATTTAATGTTTGAACTCTGGATTAGAGGTGGGAAAAATCTAGTACTGCTTCTGGGACTGGAACTGTTGGAACTGATCCATTTGTAAAACTATTTGGATGGAATGGTTTTTCAGAATTGTTTAGTCTGTTGGGCTTGATGGCTTCTTGTTGGTTATCTATATATATAAAAACGATTGTATGTCTGTCTATCTGTCCTTCATGCATTACTACACTATTTATCCGATTGCCATGAAATTTTGGGAAGTTGTTTAATACACTCCCACAAAGGTTTCTGGCATAGTACATTTATCCTATGATAGGTGATGTGCATGTATACAAGCATTTCAGCGCAGTTAGGAGTTGAAACTTCAAATTTGGTACACAGTTAGGGTATGCACACTAAGAAGGAATTTTCAAAATTTTCCCCTGAAGGGAAAGGGACAGGATTAAGGCTTCAACAATGGAAATGTTAAGAGAAAGCAATGTGCAAAATTTACAGGCGCAGATGTGGTTTTTTGCATTTTTGCAGGAAATTGAACATATTTTTAGACCCATCTGAAAATTTTCTAATTAGTCTGGAAACAGGGGAACCTAATTCTTGCATTCTGTGAAAACAGGTAAGATTGGCTGTAATGTAATAATCTTAATCTTTGCTATTGTTCCTTTTTGCCCAAGCAACGCCAGGCTTTTCTGCTATTATATATGTATAGTAGCAGGTGGGCCCGGCGTTGCTCGGGCAAAAGTAACGATAACTAAGATAAAGATTATTACGTTACACGAAACAAACATGCACCATCACCAACAATAGGGATGACAGTACATTCTTCAACTTCTCCATTAACGTTCAGATTTTCTTTAGCCATTTTAAAAAAGTCTAACCGGCAAAACCTATACTTAAACCAAACGAAAACAAAACAAATGCCAAATACAAAGCAGAGTCTATAACCAAAACTACTAAACCGAAACAAAGCAAATGCAATCCAAAATATGCCAAGAAAAGAACAGCCGAAATCGTCAAATATAATCCGCTAGAAATATTTAGGTATAGTATGTACTATTAGATACGGTGGCCACTCATCATCGGGTATATGTAACTCAGTGAAAACACAACGATAGCGCGTTTTAAAATACTACTAACGCCATCTATTGTCAACATTTAGAAGTAAAAATTATTTTGTTCGTCTTAATTTATTTGTTCCATTAGGTACTGATAGGTTCAAACTAATACATTTACATCCTCCATCATCCCTTATTTTATCCCCATGGGGGTTGAATTTATCAAAATCCTATTTAAGCGGACGTCTTCATCATAGTAGCTCCAATCTTTAATTTCAGTTCAATCAGTCGAAAATCTAAGAAGATTTATACAAACATTCATCCCCTATTTTATCCCCTTGGGGGCAGAATTGATCAAAATCCTTTCTTAGCGGATGCCTACGTCATAACATCTACCTGCATGCCAAATTTCAGCCCGATCCGTCCAGTGGTTTGGGCTGTGCGTTGATAGATCACTATGTCAGTCACCTTTGAGTTATATATATTTAGATATAATACAATACAATATTTGTCTCTTTCTATTCTTAGCCTTTTGGTCAATCTTCACCAAATTTTTCTTGCTTATTCTCTTGGACTCTGAGGGAAATACAGAATACCATTAAATCTGGACACCCTGCCCCTCCTCTGATTTCATTCCCCTTATTAACTTCTAAACCTTTTGCCAGATCTGTACCAATTTTTTATACTTACTCTCTTGGACTTGAGGGAAAATATTATACTTCCATGAAATCTGAACACCTCAGTTCTCCTCCCAATTTGATCTCCTTGACACTTCATGATAATCATAACAACAGTAGGCTAAAATTACCAAACAAGTAATATAGTTTTAATTTTAAGGTTTATCTTTTTACTCTTTGTCCAAGTAATGCCACCCATATCTGGTAGTTTACTAATAAAAACAAGATAATTAAGAACTTTAATAAAAATATAAATTTTAAAAATATCTACTTAAATTTAAAGTTCTCAAAAATAATTTCATTATTCCTTAAAAGTCGTGGACATTGTCAATTAGTTATGTGTTCAAATCCAGATAGAGTTCACTGTTCCATTAAAAGCTGTATTCATAAAAGTACAAAATGAAGAATGTGTTGGTAGTTCTGGAACCAGAACTGTCTCAACACCACGTGGAACTTTTTAGTAGTTTTGAATCCACAGCAGGTTCCAACTGAAACTATCTATCTACCTCTAACTCTGGATTATTAGAAATTAAAAGGTACCACTGCATATTTGCCCTTTATTGGATGTGTGTTTGAATTTTGAAAATATTTGAGATTAATTTCATTATTACGGTTTTATTAAATTATGGATCATTTATTTATTGAACTGTCTATTAGTGATAAAACAACTATTATATGTAAGGGACTGTCTATAAATGACCACACTGGGAGGAGGGGTTACGACAAGTTGGACAAGGGGAGGGATTGAGCCTCAATGGATGTCCATTTATTTCATTATATTGTAAACAGTTCATGCATTTTATTATATTTATTTCAAAGTTTCTTGTATGTTTTGTTTCTGCTGATGGTATCTATCATTCATAGTGATAAAGGTTTTAAGAGGGGTTGAGTTTTGATGGACATCTGAAGGGGGTTACGGAGACTTGGGACAAGAGGGGCAGGGGAAGTAAAAGTTTCAGGAAAAGTACAGACATAATTTATGGACAGCCCTAATGGAAAACTAAGAAGATTTGCACATGATTTGTTTTGCCCATATTCTATAAAATTATACTTATTATTTGATGTTACCACCAAATTATATCAAAAATCCTGCAATTATTTTTCCTGTCATATCTAATATCAATAATAGTATTCTAATTTGAAAACATTAGTCCTTCTATCCATGATTAAGCATTTACTGGAGATATTTATGGCTCTTTGATGTTACATTAATTAAATTATCAACAACCATGAGGCAGATAATAGTGAGAGCTTATCAGATCAATGATGGGCACAAATGCTCAGGAATCAAAGTGAAAATGTTTAATAAACACAAAAATGACTACATAAGTGTGGAAATGAAAAATCCAAAATATAATTATAACTCAAATGTGAGTTCCAAACTCACATTTGAGTTATAAATAAACACTTGGCTTTATTTCCATCATTTTTAGTTGATACATGACAAACAGCATGTTTCGGGCATAAAGCCCCTCATCAGTCAACTAAAAAACTACAATTTTTAAAAACATTACATAAAATATCTTACAAAACAGAATTAAAATTCTGTTTTGTAAGATATTTTATGCCCGAAACGTGCTGTTGTCACATATCAACTAAAAATGATGGAAATAAAGCCAAGTGTTTATTTATAACTCAAATGTAAGTTTGAAGTCCAATATATTCACAAAACACAGTTTCAAAAACAACATAGATAATTAATATAATTATACCAAGGGCTAGAAGCAACTTTTGTAATAATTTCATTCTTTGATGTGTGTTGTGCTGCTATTTCTGTGACTAAAGCCTACAATTAGAAATTTAAGAGAAATCTTTTTCAGTTTGGATGATATTTCAATAGACTTGATTTTATATGCTTAAATATATTTTCTTATATATACAGTAAAACTTGCTTATTGTAATCATTTTAGTACTTGCCTATATCGATAACAACAATTGGTAACATTAAGCAGAATAAGTAAAATGATTTAGTGTAAATTCTGATTTTATAAACTCTGATATTAAAAGGATATTTTAAACAATTCAAAAATGTATGTATTGATGACTTTATATCTTGATTTATCTAGTATTTGTCACCTGATATAGCCTTTAACAAAAACTAGTGTATAATTGAAATAAGAGATATGAACAATTTAACATACTGTACTGGGAGGAAATAATGATTGAATTAACAACTGGTAACAAGTGCAAAAAAGCTTAAAAGTGCTTATTCAGCTAAAGGTAATAATAACTATGACCAATTATTGATTAT